GCAGGTGCCCCTCACCTTGGAGGATCAAGCTCTTTGGTTGACAATAGACAACGTATCAACAATGGAGAGGGTGAATGGATATAACAAAGTCACTATGTTATAAATGCTGACAATAATATGTGCCTTTTGGGTCTTGTAGCTGTAGGGTGGTTAGTTAGTGCTGTAGATTATAATTCTCTCCATGGTTGTATGTGCGTGCATCTGTATCTGTATATGCATATGCAGGAGGTGTCTTTAAGAAGTCAACATTTGCCAGCAGTCAGCATGCAGAGTAGCTGAGCTACCACGTTCCCCCTATCGCTTTGAAGAGGGATGTTTGGTGGTAGATGAAGAGATGAGTAGTGGTGGAAAGCTGGCTCAAAGAAGAGCTTTCTTAGGGGGGACTTGACGGAGGGGTTCATGGTTGACCAGGGAGCCTCTTTCAAGCCACAGCAGACAGCATGAAAAATCAGGAGCTGGCAGAGTGAGGAAGAGGAGGAGATGCAGACAGAAACCAAGGCAGAGATGTAGGCGGTGCAGAGCCTGGAACGAGGATTCTGATAACCCCTCCACTTCAAGCCAACTCCTTGGTTTGAAGCTTTATTAAATTAAGCTAGGGACTACCCAGAACCCTGAGGATTTTTCTTCCAAACCATCTGCATTGGAAGCTGGAATCCTTTGAAGCCCCTTGCCTAGGGAGGGTATCACATGCTAAACAGTTGGCGTTTTATGTGAGGCTGTAGTCTCTGAAACCCCGAAAGGGGAAAAACTTGCAGCAGAGAAGTGAAAGCACTCTAAAAACTTTTTCTCGCCCATATCCCCCGCCCCTTTATCAGTCAGATAATTTACCCTTATCCTCTAGGAAAGAGAAAAAGGGATTTGTATGGCCCACAAATTTTGAAAAAAAAACCACACCTAGAGTGCCCCAGATTCTCTCCCAGGAAAAAAAGAGCACATAGTGGAAAATCCTTTCCATGTAGAACACTGCAGTCACTTCCTACTATACAACAACAGTGATATCTGTTAGAGACGTCACTGAGAAATCCATCATCATAATTCAGTGTAGGGGTCAAACCCTGAATTCCTTGCTCATTTTGTCACCTCAGTCCTTGCTCAGGCAAAACTTACACTGACATCAATAGCATAGTAAAACCCAAGGATTCTTAAATAATGTTGCACAGTTGGCCAAACTCTTTGGGGTCCTTTGGGGATCTGAAGAAGTGGGTTTTTTACCCATGAAAGCTTATGCCCAAATAAATCTGTTAGTCTTTAAGGTGCCACTGGACTCCTCGTTGTTGTTGTGGATACAGACTAACGCGGCTACCACTCTGATATGTGGGGTGAAAGTAAGACATTGTCAGAAATGAGAAATTTCATACTGATCGAGGCAATATACTGAGGTGAAAACTAGCAGTGTCTCTACCTCACATTCCAGAATTTCACCATGTGGACTATTGTGCAATTTTATTCTCACACTCACACTGCACACACACAGACACATACATTTGAAACTAATAAACGGTCTGTCTTAAATGTTCTTAACATTCACGCTGGAGATTGGCTGTAGCAGAGAAACAAGGCTGGATCATGGACCAGTGTCTTATTAGCAGCTTGTTCTATACTACCAAAGTGAGAAATGGAGCTGCACTAAAGCAAGAAAACAATGCCTGTGTGGGATTCTGCTGACAACCGACCACCCAATGTCCTCTTTTTTATTTGAGATTTCACCATAATGATCAGATGGAATTATTCGTTCATAACTCCACAGCTCATGAATCATTCTGCATCAGTGGTGTTCCATGCTTCATGTCAACACACGACTTACGTTCATGCAGGATGAATCTTAATATTTTAATTTCCTCGTGATGGGATTTTACAATTCTGCTGCATCATTTTCGATTGATGAAAAATCAGATCAGTAGGATCAGGCTGGCAACCCTAAAAGATCCACCCTTCTAGACGTTCACAAATTCCTTCTATGCATTAATAATACTCTGTTCTCCTATAAACCTTTCATCCAACAATCTTTACAATTGATCCTCACAAGCCACCCTGTGGGGTTGAGAAATGTGATTGCCATTATATGGATGGGCCACATTATAGGGGGAAAACCAGCCACTGCGAGGTTGAATTGCCTGCCGAAAAACAAGTTAGTACCAGTTCAGAATAGAATGTAGCTCTGTCCAGTGTCTCAGCCACAAGACAGTCTTTCTCCCTAAACCTCCATTCAATTTTTTTGTCCAGCAGCTGAAGGGAAATGTGAAGCATCCTTGTGGAAAATCAGCTTTTTGAAACCTTGACTGCAAGCTACCCACACATCAGGAGGCTGCACATATGTGGTTAAGGGGAATGAAATTTAAAGGACCTTCTGTTTCTATGCACAAAGGTCTCTACCAGTTCACCTACACAGAAGAATCTGCGTCAGCTGCCAGTATTCATTTTTTCTCCTTTGTGGGTTTCCAGCCTGGAAGAGGGACAGAAGTCTGATTCTATCCAGCAGGGGCAGTGATGACATAAACACTAACCAATATAATAGACAGCATTAGTGCAATTGTGATCTAAATTATCCAGGGTAACACCAGTTCCTGTTCTGCTTCTTTTCCTGCATTAACTGTTGGGGCTTGGAGTTGTTCCTAGGATGAGGAGGATCAATTACGTGATACAGACAGACAGTCTGTTTTTAATTTTGAATATTCCAACATTCTCTGGAAATTGCAGATTATTAAAGAGGAGACTGGAGCAATTCAGCTTAAGCAAACCAAAGAGGTTACACTGCACCCCAGCAACCTCTGGGGGTGATCTTGTTAGATCTCCCAAAATAAGCGGGGTTGAAATGGTATAAGAGATCATTGGTGAGAGCCGCTATGTTGCAAGATGTGCTCTCAGTGATTCAATAGAGATGGTGTTTCTCCTTGGTGAGTCAGTACGGAACCAGTATTCTGGAGAGGTGCTAGGGGGAGCCATCCTAACAGGGGTGCCATCTTCCAGAGGACTCGAGACCCTGGCCATGTGCTGTCGTAAAATAAATAATCTGAGGGAGAAATTTAGCAAGCACAGTCAATCTGTGGAACTCTTTGCCAGAGGATGTTGTGAAGGCCAGGACTATAACAGGGTTCAAAAAAGAACTAGATAAATTCATGGAGGATAGGTCCATCAATGGCTGTTAGCCAGGATGGGCAGGGATGGTGTCCCTAGCCTCTGTTTGCCAGTAGCTGAGAATGGGTGACAGGATGGATCATTTGACGATTACCTGTTCTGTTCATTCCCTCTGGGGCACCCGGCACTGGTCACTGTTGGAAGACAGGATACTGGGCTAGATGGACCTTTGGTCTGACCCAGTATGGCCATTCTTATGTTCTTAAGAGAGTGTTAACTCTGAGGTGCTGACTGATCAAATGTTCATTGCTGTCTCCTCACCTACGTTCTTTCTCTGACTTCACCTAGTACCAGGTTTGCTTCCTGTCCTAAATTAGAGTCTGGGGTTGTTGCATTTTGCTTTGCAGTTGCTCTGTTTCATCCTTGCATGTCACTGCTGGGCTATTTTGGGGCTAAATCTTGAGGCCCTTGCTTGGGGCCAGAAGCCATGTGTGAGTGTGCAGCATTGGAGGATGGGTACATCCTTTGCCTCCCACCTGCTCCCCCGCACAGTGAGTTGTCCCTGTTGGACCGAGGAGTGCAGGCGCTATTCCAAGCTAATGCTGCTGGTGATGATCGCCTTCTCGAAGGGGTTGTGATGAGAGGGCCATGGCTATGCATGGGGAATAGAGGGGTTCATGCTGCACCCTTTCAGATGGTGATGGAGCTGCTCCCTGTGTGTGCTCCTGCAGAGCCCAAGGAGGAATTCTAGCTGAGTCAACAAAAAATCCTTCAGCGGCTTTTCTCTCAGAGCTGAGCATCCTGAGCCCACATAATTTGGACCTTGGCTTATAGCCGCAATCTGCTCTTTAATCCCTACTCAGGCCAAGGTCCAATTGAAGTGGAGAAAGGTTCCCAGGTCTGGCCCACAACTGGTATAATAAGGCCTCCATCCTGCACAGATTTAGACACCTGCTTAACTTTACCCACACGGAATAGTTCCTGAAAGAGTTACTCATAGTTCATAAAGTTAAGCCTGGGTGGCAGGATCAGGGCTTAGGTTTGTAAACGATATTGATTCAACATTTTTCCTCCATGTATTGCTCTTTACCATTGACAGGTAGCAACATGGTTCAGATTGTGCCAAACAGAAGTAATTTAGGTATTAAAACCAACTGGCTACATTGTTTAGCAGAGGAATTAAATTGATGATCAGCTTTTGAAGCATCAAGTGAGACGTAACAGAAAGGATAATGTGTAATGATTTTTTCTCTGTTGCATTTGAATGGCATATGCGTCTTTGTTGTTTATCTGCTGGTTTGATTTTTAATTATTTGTTCTGGAGATAATGAGCGACTGTGCTGTATTTATAGAAAATTCCTAAGCTGTGATATTATCCGCTTCTGTGCTGTCTTTCTGCAAACACGGGTAGGCTGGCGATTAATTATCGCTAGAAATATGAATTAAATTTCAAGTGGTAGCAAATAACAAATAGGACTGAAATTTACAAGACTAGCATTTTGTTTTAAAATCCAAATATCTACTTAGTTACTCGTTTCATGGCCCTTGTGAGACGTGATTATAGACATGGACAAGGCGTTACAGCTCAGCCTTTATAGCTATTTGATCAATACATTCATGATGTATCTCTGCTTCCCCTCCCCAAGAAGTTCCTCTCTGTCAGTTTTTTCTATTGATTTGAGTCTACCTGCATTGAGTTATATAGTGATTATGGTGGCTGGTGCTATGGGGAAAGCACAGGACTAGCACACAACTGCAAAAATATTTTATTTTATGCTCTTTTTTTTTAAAAGGAAAATGTATTCGAGGCAGAAGCTCTCTGCTTTTCCCTTCAACTTATCAATCAAACCAACAGTGAGTCCTAAAATCCTGGATATTTTGATTATTTCTTGAGTGATCCTTCTCTCTCTCGTTTGGTTTCACAGACAGTGAAATTATTCCTCCCGACTGCCTGCGTCCGAGATCTTTCACTGCAATTCGCCGGCCCTCGCTGCGCAGGGAGACAGAGGACACCCGGCTCTCCGTGAGCCTCTGCGACCTCAACCTCCAGGAAGAGAACTTCCACGTGCTGGCCACCATGTGTCCCATCCCTCAGAACTCCCTCAATTCTCAGCATTCCCATCTCTTCCCATCCCAGCTCGAAAGTGACCTCCGCTTCCACCAGCTCAGGGGAGCCCATGTCAAAATCCTGGACGACCAAACTGTGGCCCGGCTGGAACATGCCCGGGAAGAGAGGACTTTGGTTTTCACCAGCAGACCCCTTAGAATCAATGAAACCATTTTTGTCAAAATTAACAAATCAAATGCCTCCCGCTCCGGCACACTGTCATACGGAGTGACCTCTTGTGACCCTAGTACTCTGAGGCCCAGTGACCTTCCTTATAACCCAGAGTCGTTGGTTGACAGGAAGGAATTCTGGGCAGTGTGTAGAGTCTTGGTGCCCCTCCAGAGTGGAGACATCTTGGGGTTTATGGTGAATTCAGAAGGCGAACTGCATTTGAGTCATAATGGTGCCAGCGCCGGCATGCAGGTCTGCGTGGACTGTTCCCAGCCCCTCTGGATGTTCTTTGGTTTACATGGAGCAGTTATGCAAATTCGAGTATTGGGTAGGTTTGTCTATTTTAAAATTTCACGTGAAAAATATTGAGGAGGTCCGATTTGTGGGGGAGGGGAATTGAATTAAAAGATTAGAAGGCGATCACCTTAGTTTAGGCCACATACACAAAAAGTTTTATATCTACCTCCCTTCCACCCTCAACCCCCCCCCCCAAAGAGCTCTGTAGTTTTGTGAACCTACACCCAAGAATACTGAGTTAGAATACTGTACTTTGCATTTATATAGCACCTTTCACATAAAGATCTCCAAGCTCTTTGCAAATACAAACAAATGAGTCCTCATAATCTCTGGTGAAATAAGGAAGTGTGAGCCTTTTGCATATGGAGAAAAGGAGGTGTCATGACTTGCCCGAGGTCACATAGAAAATCTGTGGCAGAGTCTGATCCTATGCATTAACCACAAGACCAAACAGTCACCAGAGAAAGTCCTCCTGAATCCCTCATGTTAGATTATGCAAAGAAGTCACAGTGACATGAACTACTGTTTCACCTTCACATCCCAGTGCAAAGCAGAAATCCAACAAACAATGAGATGTTTACGACCCATTCTGTTTTAATTAGGCAAGCGTAAGTGATGCAGGTAAGTAAATCTTTTAAAATAGATGATCTTTATCTCAACAGTGTCCCCTTAACTGGAATGTTTCTAGGTGGAAAGTGTAGAACAAACACTGAAGGAAATATTTTGAAAGCGTGGAAGTCTGCAGGCAAAAAATGCTTGTGCACGCACCTTTGCTTGTACACTCTTAGATTTGTGTGTGCGGGTATCTGCTGTGTGCCAGCACACGCATTTTTGCCGGTGCAAGCTGTCTTCTTTAGCTTAGCCTTGAATGTGGACCAAGTCCCGGTCGTGCTAATGTCAGTGTCAAAACTTGCAGTGAAGTCTGTGGGAGCAAGATTTGGCCCTCAGAGAGCAGTTCCTTTATAGTTTATATCCAGTATGTAAATAACAAGGGGTTCATTTGCTAACAGTACATTCAAGATATTTAGTTAGGGGCTAGTCTACAATGAAAACATACATCGGCATAGCCACATCTCTCAGAGGTGTGAAAAATCCACACCCCCAAGAGGTAGAGCTATGCTAACCTAACCCACTGTGTAGACAGTGCTACATCAACAGAACAATTCTACTGCCTGTCAGGGAGGTGGATTAACCCCTCCCATCACTGTCGGGATTGTCTACGCTGAAGTGCGACAGTGTCACAGCTGCAGCATTTAAAGTGTAGACACAACCTAGGAAAGCACTCGTGTCTCAACCTTAGCTAAAGGGAGGCTATCTTGTAGTGCTGGACTCAGACGTTAGACGTTGCACCACATCAGACAAAAACAATGGCAATACGCTGAATATTTCAATACTCCGTAAAGGATTTACAAATAGGTGTTAATTAAAATCCTCTAATTAGTGTCACTTTTGCTGTGGAGGGAGAAGCAGCAGTTTAAGGCTGTGCAGGCATTTGGCTTTGAAAAGTCATTTGGCTGAATTTCTTCCAAACTTCTGGTATATGATGTCAACCAAAGAATTTTTCAAATCCCCATTTGAAACTGAATGGTTGAAAGATGCTGCTCCCGCAGTGCGCTACTTGCAGCCTGGGTAGCCTGGCTACCGGTTCACTACCCTGACTAGTTCATGACACTCCCGGCTCCAGCACGGAGCTGTGAAATTGACAAGAAATCCAACAGTCGATGTAAGTACCTGCAGAGTCTACACAGACACTGCCTCGCCCAAACTACACCGGCATAAGTCCGACATCTCTCGTGGAGGCGGAATTGATATGTCAGTGTAGTGGGGCACTTACATTGGTGGGAGCAAGGCGGCAGTGTGTATACTGACGTAATTAGGTTGACGTAAGCTGCTTTACGTCAACCTAACTCTGTAGTGTAGACCAAGCCTCAGAGACAGACAGTCCAACCGTCTCCTACTTCCTTTTACTGTCCATTCTCTTCCACTCCAATCTCCTGTCAGCCCTCCTGCTCAGGTATGAATTTAGGAACCCTGGCAGACTGCAGACCTGCACTCTGGCTATAAGTCCCTATGGGAAGTTGCGTCTCTCTTCACTCTTTCAAGGCGCATTTTAAGGGAAAATATGATTATCATAATCTATGATGGGTTGGCTAGATACCGGTGATCTTGCAAGCTCATATCTATATCTCAAGTGAATCTTGCATTTAGAATGTGCTCCTCGCTGGGGTATCTGAGTCCCTGTATAAGCATGACAGTTTTCAGAGTAAGAAATCTAATCTTTCTGCAGTGCATTATTTCAATTTTAGGAACAAATATTTTTTAAAAAGTTAGGCTTGCAATTAGATGCCTACTTTGGGCACACAATGACTGGACTGCACATGCATATAGCTAATTAATGGGATTCGTCGGTGTAATTTAGATGATTTAGTTGGTGTTGGTCCTGCTTGGAGCAGGGGGTTGGAATAGATGGCATCCTGAGGTCTCTTCCAACCCTAATATTCTATGATTCTATGATAATTACTTAATTTGAAAATAGGACCCTTGCTTTTTTAAAGGCCCACTACAAAAATAATCCCTCCATCAAACAGAAAAAAAAAATTATTTTTGGAAGAGCTAGTGGCTAAACTCTCCTCCTACGGTAGGAAATGGGCATAACCCCCTTTAACGATGATTTGGGGTGAACCTGCCTACCTGTCTACAAGGCTTTCTTTCATGGTATAGTTTGATTATAGTGACTTAGGCTAGGTCTACACTACCCGCCTGAATCGGCGGGTAGAAATCGACCTCTCGGGGATCGATTTATCGCGTCCCGTTGGGATGCGACAATCGATCCCCGAATCGACGCTCTTACTCCACCAGCGGAGGTGGGAGTAAGCGCCGTCGACAGGAAGCCGCAGAGGTCGATTTTGCCACCGTCCTCACAGCGGGGTAAGTCGGCTGCGATACGTCGAATTCAGCTACGCTATTCACGTAGCTGAATTTGCGTATCTTAAATCGACTCCCCCCTGTAGTGTAGATGTAGTCTTATTAGCAATAGGAGAAGAAATACCTTAAGTGATCTATTTAAGACTTATGAACCCTAGGCATAAGTTTTTATTACTAACATCCTGCTGTAATTAAAATGCTCAAGCATAACAAATGTGACACTACCATTTATTGCTTTAACCACTATTCATCTTCTAATAGCCACTGGGATCCAATTTGATTACAGTTCCTGTGTGTACTATACAGAGAGCCTGGCTAGCTTTTTTTCCCAGCTAGCACATCATTCTGATAATGGTAGATCAAGCCAAAGAGACCTGCGTGGGGAATAAAGAGGATTAAATGATACTAGAGCAGGGAGGTCCCATCTGGCCTGGTAGGCACAGGAAAGACCAGACCCATCCGGCTTCCACCATGCCACAGTTTACTTTGATACCAGATCACCCGTTCTGCCAGCTGTATCATGAGCACACACGGTAACTGTCTCCTGAACGCGGTTGTAAGAGGACAAGCTAGAATTTTTTTAAACTGGAGTGTAAGTGAGGGGAGTTGTTGGCATTAATCTGATGTCCCCAAAGGAAGGATAAGGATCCCTCTGCTGGTACATCTATTGTAATGCTGGCTAACAGTAACTAGCATCATTCAGTACAATGTTATGACATGTGCACTGCCTACATTATAAGACATGCCTAAACCATAAATGTAACTTTGCAACCTTAGGTTGGATTGTTATAAAATGTCAGTGTTTTTAACACAGTTGGGCTGTTTATACAGAGCAGTTATCAAACTCTCACCAATACTAGCCACTTCATGATGCTCTAGTTACAGGATCAGTCATACGGATGGATCATTTCCAGGCCGGAGGATGAACTAGATGACCTAATAGAGTGTTCCTATCTCTAGCTTCTATGATGCCATAGTGAATCGGAAGCGTAAGAAATGTCATTTATAGCCGTCTTCTCTGGCAGTCAATGGGAAACATGCAAAAACTCTATTACGACAACAAGAAATGAAGACACAAATAGTGCCAAAAGCACCATTCTGGTTGCTTATTCTAGTGCAGTAAATATTATAAAGCAGATGTAAATCTCTTCCTAGGGGTATCCCTCAAGCCCTTCTTAAAGTAAGTAAAGCACCACCACACTGAATTAAAGGAACAAAGAGCTGTGACATGAACCCCAAAAGCCGGGAATTTAAAGTCAAGGTGTTTCATTCTCCTCTCCAGCCTTTCTGCTTTTTCTGCAATACAGATAAAATTATTCCTGGCCACTGGCAACGCCATTGCACAATTAGAAGAATTAAGAAGGGTGAATTAGAGGACTGGATGGCTCAGGAGACTGATTATTGGAGACTGACTTTTCCACCTCTAGATCAGCCATTTGGCTGTGACCCAGGATGATGACAAATGAAAGTCATTGCCATCTGATGACTGTAATTGCCATTACAAAGTCAACATTTACCAACAGCAGCTGTCCCACCAGTATCAGACATACCAGAGTTATTTCCTGGGCTAAGGATCGAGAAGTACTGAAGTATCATAGAAACAATTCCACATGAGGAAACCACTGCACCTGCACAGAGCTCATTATAAGATCAAGGCCTGAGATAGGCCATTGCAGGGACTGGTGCAATAAACAGGGGTGTTGTCTTCAGTCTTTATCAACCCAGTACAATTCACTAGAACTAAATTCATCCTAGGGGAAGTAATAAAACAGAAAATTAAGATTAATTAATCTTTCAAGCAAGGAGAAAATAAATAAAACTCCAAGCACCATTACAGTTGGGCGAGAGGCTACAGGGACGTACAATGAAAGATGTAAGGAGCTCAGAGTTCAAAGCAAAGGTGTAGAAGGCAACTGGATCACAATGTATAAGTACCTACATGGGGAAGTGATATCTGACAGTACAGACTCTCTAAAGTTGTAGAGAAAGTCATAAGACAACCCAGTGGCTGGAAGCTGAAGCGAGACAAATTCAGACTGGAAATAAGGGTAATTAATTAGCCATTGGAGCAGATTATCAGAGGAGGTGGTAGAGTCTTCCTCAAAG